AAAAAAAAAAAAAAAAAAAAAGAAAAGAAATGCAATTGATTTTTCTGTGTTGATCTTGTATACTGCAACCTTGCTCAACTCACTTATTGGTTCTAGGAGGGTTTTTTTAAGATTCCATGGGATTTTCTACATGGACAATTATGTCGTCTGCAAAAAGGGACAGTTTTATTTCTTCCTTTCAAATCTATGCCTTTTTTTTTTTTTCTTTTTTCTTATTCTGGCTAGAATTCCCATTAATGTTGAATAAGATTGGTGAGAGTGGACATCTTGCATTGTTTCTGATCTTAGGAGGAACGCATTCTCTTTCCCCATTAAGTATGATGTTAGCTATAGGTTTTTTGTAAATACTCTGTGTTGTATTAAGGAAATTTCCCCTATTTCTAGTGTGCTGAAGTTTTATCATGATTTGGTGTTGGAAGCTAGCTGTTTTTGTGTTATTATTATCACAATTGACATCAAGACAGCCATATCAGTTCATTTGTTAATGAAATGACACATGTATTTCATATAAATATTTATTACCATTTTGAAATGAGCATAAGTAGCTAAACACAGAAAAGCAACAGAATAACAAATGAGTATTGGGAGATCTCTTTTGAGAAATAAAAATGACAGAAAATGTAATTTTTCTTTGTAACCAGCAGATTCACTCTTACCTGAATGAACTAAGAGTAACTCCCATCTTGAATACTGTTGCAGCCACAGAATACTGCTATTATGAGTCTAACCATTTCTATACTTGTTATCCATATGACTGTCTTCTCTCCTTTGCCATTTTGAAAGAGGTATTATTTGGCTGTTTTAGAGTTAAAAAAAAGTTTTAATATGCTGTATATTTGGTATGCTATTAACTTATTTAGTTTGAAGTGTATTTTTTTCTCAATGGTTTTCCTTCAACTTTAATCTTCTGGATAAGAAGACAAGGAATCCATAAAAAATTTTGCTAACCCTAAATGTATATGTAGTTAGAATAACCTGGTTCAGTTAATTTAATTGAAACAGGGCTGTTGGAGTAAGAGTTTGGAATTTGATCCCTTATGATGAATTACTAAGTCAAGTACAGCCACTGACCAATGCAAGCTTTGGTTGCTAAGGGGAGATTCAACAAAAGCAAACATCCCAACATCTATTCTGTGCCCTTGGATCACTAGAATCATCCTCCTTTGTGAATGACAGCACACTCTTAGTTCCCATTTATTTTAGTACATCACGTAATCACCTCTTCCCCCCGCTCTATCCATTCCAGGATATCTGAGAAGCACTCTGAAATCTAGATTTATTTAGGTCATTTGCTTAGCATCTCTCTCTCCTAGTATACTGTGATAGTCTAAGCAACTTGAGGGTAGTATCTGTGTCTTATTTGTCTTTAATTCCCCAGTGTCTAACACAGGGCCTGGCACAGACGAGGCCTTCAGGAAGTTTATGTTACACAAATGGCCACCTACTTTTTGGGGCACGATTGGCTATCTTACTTTAAAAGTATTCCCTCTAGTACCCAAGCAACGCTTGATGCCTCTGACCCCACATTCTGTCTCTGGAAAGCATTCTACCAAAATATGAAATTTTAGTTCAAGGACATGTTTCCACCTTTACCCCTTTTCTGATATAAGTGACGCAGCTAGTCAACAGTTCGTTTCTTAAAAAGAGAAGATTGAGCCTTAGTGATTGAGTTAACCCTGTCCTGGTTTAATCTCTCAAGTCTACCCATCTTTTCAGATTCTCTGTGACTGGAAGCTCTAACTTACTTAATCTCCCAGGCTTACAATACCAAAAATGTACGGAAAGAGTAACATGCAGTGAGTAAGAGTGGAGTTCTTGCTCATTGCCTTAATGGGATGCTGTGAAAATAACCATTTTGCTCAAACCTAGAATAAATGTTATTTGTTTGAAAAATATATTTTGAAATTCAAGTTAGTAATTCTCTTTCAAAGTATCTTCTTTCTGTTTAACGAGATAGCTGTAGGATTTGTGTCCTTGAGTTTTGCCGGTGTGCTTTAAAAAAACTATTTTCTCAAGTTTGAAGCTTTCAAAAACACACAGATTTATTACTTAGTTCATCTGAATTTGGTGTGTTCGTATGTGTATCTGCATGGATTGAAGATTAATGCTTTCTAGAACAGGTGTTAGTCATTGAGGAGCAAGGAAAAATTCAAGTGAAAGAGATCAGTTTGTATGTGGTTAGGACAAATCAAGTTCACCCTGCACTCAGCAAGTTCTTTTATTCAAGCTTTAAAGCTATTTTCATACTAAATATTCTTTGTTTTGTACTCTTAAAACCATGTGATTGAGTTTCACACTATACTTGTCACACATTGTTAGCTGGCGTGAGGGCACGTGCTGCCTTGCTGTCCGCGCTCGAGTCTGGGGCTCTTTCCTCAGGCAGAGGTTGTTAGTCCTGTGAAATAGCGGTAAATCAGAGCATGGGATTCTCCTAACAGTGAGAAGGATTCAGGTTCCCAGTTGCAATAATGGTAATGATGGAATGCTAAAGAGAGGAGGCAGTTCTCAGTGTGAAGCAGAAGCCGGTCTCACTGTTTTGGTTCTTAATTGATCATTTGGAAATTTTCCGTGTAGAAAAATGCGTCCATATACTTTAGGGTCCTCAGTCCTTCCTTGGTATTTGTTCACTTACATTTTTAAAAATTAGAAAAAGATCAGGGGCTGGCCCAGTGGCATAGTGATTAAGTTTGCCCGCTCTGCTTTGGTGGCCTGGGGTTCGCATCCCGAGCACGGACCTGCACACCACTCATCAAGCTGTGCTGTGGCGGGATCCCACATACAAAGTAGAGGAAGACAGGCACAGATTCTAGCTCAGGGACAATATTCCTCAAGCAAAAAGAGGAAGATTTGGAAACAGATGTTAGCTCAAGGCCGATCTTCCTCACCAGAAAAAAAAAAATTACAAAAAGATCAGGGAATCTTAGAGATGGGAAAGTCCTCAGAAGGCATCTTGCCCAAGTCCAACCTAAGGCACCATCTCACCTAGCTCCTGCTT